ATGTTCTTTTATGGCCCTCTTCTACTAGCCTCCCAGTGATGCCCCTTTATTTATGAGATTGGTACCTGGGTCATGGGCTTTTTCATTCTACTCCTATTATTATTCTCGGTAACATCAACATCCATTCAATACCCTGGCTTTCAGCGCCTTAACTTTATCGCTTCTAATTACGCTTTCCTCCATTCCACCTCACCATCAGTTTTCTTGACCAAACCAAGAACTGCATCTCCTCTAAAATATCAGTCTCAAACGTTCTTCTCTCTAGTCCTTCCAATTCTTCTATCTTGTTTACTCTAGTAATGTCTTTGCAGTAATTTTTTGAACGATATCAAGATGCCCAATTTCTTCTACGACATTTTCCACTATTCATGATCTGCATCATCTATGAACACAATAGTACTGGTGTCTATATCCACACATCACACACCTTCCTTCTTACTACAATGGAAGGTATGTCCATGCTTCGCTTGTGCTCTGGATACCACCCCCTCACCTTTGCTCCTGGAATTATCCTCTTTTCTCCATGCATTATCAGTTTTTCCATCTCTATTAAACTCTTCCCATCAGCAAACGATGTATTGTGATATCTTCATCTCCCTTCTCTTGATCCCGACTATCCTTCTGGCTCCCACCCCTTTTCTCTGCTCTCCTTCATAGCCAACATTTATTGAAAGTTGTCGTTACTTGCAGTCCCTACTTCTTCACCTACCATTCTCTCTTCAACAGGTTCCAACTGGGCATCTGGCCCCTTCACCTACTCTACAGAAACTGCTCTCCTCGAGGTCGCCCATGACCTGTCTGTTGGCAAACCAAATGCATTTTCATTTACCTCTCAGCAGCATCCAACACAGCCAAACACTCCCTCTTTAAAACCCTTTGTTTCTCTTCGTTTGTATTGCTTTCAAATATTTTTACTTATATAGACCCTAAAAGAATTTTGTAAAATTTCGCAGACCGTTACACATTTTTAGAATTGACATCAATATTTTCATCATAAGTTTAAATAGTTGCTAGGGATAGAATTTCCAGTATGTTACAAATATTGACTTCTTAAAACTGTTATATGACTCTTTTTAAATGTGCCCAGTGGAATCTAAACACCATAGAAATTTGATACCATAATTTGTGTTGAAAACATACAGACTTCTTTAACAGAAATTTTACATTGTTTCCTTTTCCCTTAAATTTATATTTTCATTCAGGTTTCCCTGCAAAATTTTTTTCAATATATTTTATCATTCCACCAACTTCTCTGTGACTAAATTATATAAATTGAAGTTAGAACTTCAAAAGTTTCCTATAAGGCTCTATAAATTTTTTATATTCGGTTATTATTGCAGTTATTTAATTATTATATACTTGATCAAAATAACATAAACATTATAGATTACAAATTTTGAAGGAAAAGCATTATCCTAAGAGAAAACTGTATTGTAAACAGAGTTATGAGTTGGTTAGGACTTTTCCCTCCACTCAATTAACTGTGTGTCTGGGGCACTACTACTTATTGTTATGGTGAGACCGAGTTTAGCAGTAATCGTCTCCATGTTTTGTCTTTTTAAAAGATGTAAGCTCCGAGAAATCCTGTTTATATAAATAAGTGTCTAGAAACTTTATCATAGAAGTGCTATCCAATTCTTTGAACTCCTTTTGAGTTATATATCTCAAATCAGAGTGATTTATCAAAAAAAGTTTTAATAATGATGTAGCTCTTAACTACCAACTTTCAACTCAGTTAAGTTCTCCTCCAATTTTTTGGAAAGCAAAATATTGGACATCCTTGTGCAAATCCTTATGCAAGTGAGATGATGTCCAATATTTGTTACCTGGATATTACAGTTACTAACTTCATCAAGCTGACGCCAGTATTTCTAATTGCTTTCTTTTCGTGCCTAGGATGGTTTCACACTGTTGGACACTGCACTATAGTAAGATTTGGGGCAGATGCCAGTGGTAGATGGGGAATCACGAAAGGAAGTTGTGATGGAGAACATCTTTATTAGGTACATTCTCAGGCCGAAAGGGTTTGGAGAGATCACATATGCAGTTGAAGATCTGAAAATTGCTGTCCTTTAAACTACCTATGCATATATCCCCCTTGGAAATTTTCAGCATACTCTTAAGACCCCTGGTTTTTGTCTTAACTCCATAGCTTTTCTTCTCAGTTCCTTTGCTGGAGATTCCTTCCCTATTTAGCCCTAAATGTTGAGCAAGGTGGGTGTCATTCTTAGTCCGCCATCCATCTCCTTTTTGGCCATCTCTTCATCAGTCCCAATGTTTCAAGTACTGGCCGTAGGCTGATGGTCTCCCCACAAGCTCAAATGTGTACACACAACTTCCAACTCGAGTGCCCTGTGTGGAGGCCCAGTTGGCATCCCACACTGCTTATGTCTGAAAGAGAAGTCATGACTCTCACACCACATCCAATTTCACCACAACCTGTTTCTCCACAATCTTCCATATCTGAGAAAATGGTACCATCATTCTTTCAGTTGTGAAATGAAAAAACCTAGGAGTTAGTCTTGATTTCTCTTTTTCATCACTTCCTGCAGCAAGCTCCATCAGTGCTCCCTTTGAACCTAGCCTGGATCCATCCACTTCTCTTCATCAGTCTCCCTCTCTAGTCCAGGATGCCACCATCATGGCTTGCCTGGAGGACTCGATGCCTCCCACTGGCCTCCCTCATTCTGCCACACCCACCAATGATCTGTGCTCCACCAAGCATCCAAAGTGTCTTTTCATAATGTCTGTTGGATCATGTTTCTCCACTGGCTAAAACACTACAGAAAAATAGTTACAGGATGGAACTGGAGGCCATTATATTAAGTGAAGTAATTCGGGACTGGAAAATCAAATGCCACATGTTCTCACTGATAAGTGGGGGCTAAGCTATGGATGTGCAGGGGCATACAGAGTGGTATAATGGACATTGGAACCTCAGTAGGGGAGGTGAGGAATGAAAATTACCTATTGGGTAAAATGTACAGTATTCAGGTGACAGGTACATGGAAAACCCAGATTTCAACACTATACAATTCATCCATGTAACTAAAAACCACCTGTACCACTAAAACTATTGAAATAAAAATAAAGAAATTAATTTAGAAAAAAAATTCCAATTTTATATCTGGGTCTGTAAGTACTCTGTGGTCTGGGCCCTGCCTACCTTTCTCTTTTCTTTTCTTTTCTTTTTGAGACAGAGTTTCACTTTTGTTGCCCAAGCTGGAGTGAAATGGCATGATCTTGGCTCACTGCAACCTCTGCCTCACAGGTTCAAACGATTCTCCTGCCTCAGTCTCCTGAGTAGCTGGGATTACAGGCATGGGCCACCACACCTGGCTAATTTTGTATTTTTAGTAGAGATGGGGTTTCTCCATGTTGATCAGGCTGGTCTTGAACTCCCAACCTCAGGTGATTCGCCCACCTCAGCCTCCCAAAGTGCTGGGATTACAGGCTTGAGCCACCGTGCCTGGCCATGCCTACTTTTCTGAGTCCAGTCTCATGTCTGTCTTGCTGTCTTGCTAACTGAACTCCAAGTGCATGAACCCTCTCTTCGTTCCTAAACATGACAAGCTTGCTTTTAACTCAGGGCCTTGTTCTTGCTGTGCCCTGAGCCTAGAATTTTCTTCCCTTAAATGGCCCCATTGCTACCTCATTTTTTTCCTTAGGCCTCAGCTCATATAACATCCCCTTTTAGAGGCCTTGCCTGACCACCATGCTAGTTCATTATCCTATATTTTTAAATAGCAAATATTGTACTAGAAATTGGTTATATTGATTAGGCCAGGTGGCCCATGGCTGTAATCTCAGAACTTTGGGAAGCTGAAACAGGAGTATTGCTTGAGCCCAGGAGTTTGAGACCAGCCTGGGCAACATGGCAAGCACCCCTCTCTACAAAAAGTAAGAAATTAGCTGGGCATGGTGGTGCACACCTGTAGTCCCAAACTACTTGGGAGGCTGATATGGGAGGATCACTTAAGCGTAGGAGGTCAAGGCTACAGTGAGCTGGGATGCTGCCACTGCACTCCAGCTGGGCAACAGAGTGAGATCTTGCCTCAAACAACAACAACAACAGAAATGGACTATATCTGTTTTTATATGTGTAAGCTTCACAAAAGAGACATCTTTCCTGCGTTATTTATCTCCGTATTCCCAATTCTAAAAATGAGTCAAACAAGTATTAGTAGATGCTCAAATGTATTTGTTGAGTGGATGCAGTTTGCCACAGTTTTATTTAAATACCCAGTGGTATTTCCAGGGAAGAATACGTTAGTACTGTAGGCTTGGGTAACTACTCGCAGCTCACCCCACTACTGAGCGTTGACCTGGAATTGGAGCTGGTATCACAGAACAGGGGATGATCATGGGCTTTGGAGTCAAATAAGGCTTTTCAAGGATTTAACCCCAGAACTGTCAGCATCCAGCTCTATGGACACTGTGGCAAGTCACACCATTCTTTACATCTCAGTTCCCTCGCATATTAAATGAAGATAACTTCTAGGATTGTTGTAAAAATTGGAAATAATATAGGCAAGTGATTGACACATATGAGGCATTCAACTGATGGTAGTTGTGGTAGATGATATTGTCACCCCACCGTCTCCCCGAGATTCCCTTTACTGCTCTGTCCCATGGCCAGTGGCAGGCTAGGATAGGGTTATAAAATCCTGCTTGCTTGCCTCAAGGCAGCGCAGACCCTGGGGAGTCCTCCAACAGGAGACCAGGACTTCTGTGTCTGCAAATCTTTCTGCGAGTTCAAGCTAAAACTAATCTTCACCAGACGCCACCTCCTTTCCCTTCTCTATTCTGATTGCTTCACTTTGTATTACTTTCTCCTGGGAGCAATGCCTCAATCAATCATGGGTACGTGAATCCCTGGCTCAGGTTATGCTTCTCTGGAACCTGAACAGGGCAGTGGTTATCACCTTTTCTTCTACCAGAAAACTCTAGCAGCTACTTTTTTTTTCCTTCTAGTAATGCTGCCTATTAGTTGTACTTACCTGCTCACTGTAAAAACCATAGGTGGAAGTGAGAATTACTGCAGCGTCTTTGCATTATAGTTCAATGTTGATAAGAAGAGCCTCCTGCTATTAAAAGAAGAAAGAATGGGAAGGAAAAATAGTTACACTTTCTCATTAGTGGAAACAGGAGAGGCGTTAGAATGTAAATGTTCAGGCCTTTCTATCTATAAGGACATGCCCTAGCCTTGGCCTCAGGTATCCTGAAGTCAGGCCTGCCACTCACTGCTGAGCTGGAGGTCAACATCTCTCTGCCTCATTTTGTCATTTGTAAAGTGAGAAAAATAATACAGAGTTGCTGAGTAAAGTAAATGAAATCTTGTATATGAAAGAGCTTGGTAATTATAAAACACCTCATAAAGGTGAGGTGTGTGGGAGGATAAATGTGACCTTCTGGTTCGTTCAAGAATTAGAAGTAAATGCATTAAGATACTGCAGAAAAGCGTGAGCCTCTTTAAATATGTAGAAATAGGGAAAATTGTGTCTGAGTTACGTGTATCATGTTTTAAAGAAATTACTTTGGGGGAAATGTATTTTTATACTCAAATAATAACCAATCAGGTAGAAGCACTCTGTAAATGATACACACAAATATATGCACACAAATACATACCCACTGTAGCTCCAGTGACTTCTGGGAACTATTTGGGGAGTTGCAGTAACAGAATTTCATAAGATTTATTAGCAGGAGAAGGTTCCCCAGAGCTGCCTACATAAGGCTTTAATTATTCAAAGATCGCATTTTGGCACTTCTAACATTGCCAAACCAAGAAATCAGAAAAAGGAACACATTTCTGGTCGCAAAGAGAGGCGTTTTGTGCAGGAAGTAGCAGTGAAAATGCAAACCCGAACCTCTGAGCAAGCCACCACTTCCAGGTAACTTAGAGGCCTGGGAGTGAGTTCTTCCCTAGACAGGCGAAAAGAAGCACTTCTTTCTTTGAGACAAAGGATTGAGCCAAAGCCAAGAAGCGAAAAAATAAATGACAGGAGATAGCAAAGTAAGGATGAGCAAAGGAAAGCAGGAGCGGAAAGGTTCGGAGAGTGGCAGACAGCGACGGCAGGGGGAAACCAGAAGCAGCACCCGGACCCGGCGGCAGCAGAACATTCAGGGAAAACGGGGAGGCGGGGACGGGCCAGACCTGAGCTGGAACAGGCCTTGAGCCCCGGAGAGCCTGCGGGCAGCACCACTGTGGCCCCAGCGGTCCTTTAGTACCTGGCCTCCCCAAGCAGCCCTGCATCTACATCCAGGACGAAGGCTGCCAGTTTGAACTGCCTCCCTCTTTTGGTCCTCCAGATGGAGTTGGAAGTCCCGTTCCTTTGTCCCTTCTGCAGGTTGCTCTCTGCACTTAATTCTATGACCTCATGCTTATGCGTATCCTCCATTATTCTCCTTGGGAGCCGTGAGGGCAGGCTGTCTTCACTTGTGACTGGCCTAGTAGACACCACCTTCCCTACTATTGTTAAGTAAAATCTGCTTAAGCAGGCAGGAAGACTGGCTGGGTGCGGTGGCTCACGCCTGTAATCCCAGCACTTTGGGAGGCTGAGGCGGGTGGATCATGAGGTCAAGAGTTCAAGACTAGCCTGGCCAAGATGGTGAAACCTCGTCTCTACTAAAAAGACAAAAATTAGCTCGGCGTGGTGGTGGGTGCCTGTAATTCCAGCTACTCTGGAGGCTGAGGCAGAGAATTGCTTGAATCCAGGAGGCGGAGGTTGCAGTGAGAGGGATTGCGTCACTGCACTCCAGCCTGGTAACAGAGCAAGACTCCATCTCAAAAAATGGCAGGAAGACTCTTCATCCCAACCTGTACCATTTGAATGGCCCAGGACTTAGAGGGTTAAAATATCAGTTATTCAAAGGACCTACCTGCCCGTCTATTTTTGAGTGTGCCAGACTCTGTTCTGGGGAGTAGTGAGCCCAGGGCAGAGTCAGTGATAAAGATGCTGTTAGCAGTGGGGAACATCAGGTCACACCAACTCTGTGCCAGGTGCTGGGCTAAGTGCCCCATGTATACAATTAGTTAATTCTCGTGGCAACTCTCTGCCCTCAGGGAAAACGGATTGATTGATGATTTAATGAGGGAGGCAGATACATACATTACTAATAAATGACAAATAAATTATAATAAAATGTGGCAGTAATATAAAAGAGAACCAGGGACTGGGAGTGAGTTATTTTTTTTCCCTGAATTTGGGGAGGGTTTCCCCTAGAAGGAGTGCCTGAGTAATAATGGAGGTGTCCCAGTAATTTTAAAATTATTTATTCCTCAAGGAGACAAAGAGTCCAAAATAGAAAAGTCCTTCCTTGTGTGTTAGCCTGGCAAAAACCAAAATAAAGCTCAGCAATATATTTATCTTGCTGAAAAGCAAAAGCTCCACATTACAATTGTATTATTTGGGAAGAATATATGAATTGCATAAAGGTGTAAATATTATTTATGATGCTTATATTTAACTGGGATGATAGTGTTATTGCTCTTATTTCTCCAGTTTATTATAGATTGGTATTAAGGCATGACTATAAAGCTCTTTGAATAAATCATTTTAATTGCCCAGTAATATGAGTGCTCATGTTAATTAAGTAGATATTTTGCACATGGCAAAGATAATTCTTTTCAGCTTTTACTTTGGAAAGACAGCCTTATAATGTGCCCTTTGTGGAATGAATGACTTTCCTATTATCAAACTGAGTACCATGCAACTCTTAAAAATTGTACTAAAACATTTCATTTTGATCTTAAAATATAGAGGTGCCTAGCAGAAAGTAGGCTCCAGATAGCTAGAATGTGTAAGGTTTTGTCATGTTGCGTTAGCAGTGTGGTGTGGCGGGAGGGTGTTTTTGTCGGGTAAGCACACACCGTTGTGGCTCCTGCCTAGCTCTGTTTTGCTGAGTGGTCACAGGAAAGTCACGCTGGTTCTCTGGGCCTGTTTCCTCACCTGTTAAATGCAACATCTGGACTCCAGCTCTAATAGTCTTTTATCTGCGACTCAGTCCTAGCGGAAGACCTGGTTTCTATCCCCACTCTCATGGAGTAAGTCCAGACTCGTGATGTCCCTCCTGACTGGACATCAGAAGGGTAGGGGCATGTCCCTTCCATGACAGTCAAGATAGACAGAAAGGCATAGAGATTTCAGTCCTCTTTGTTATATTGGAATTGAGAAGTATATTAAAAATTGTTGTTTGGTTGGTTTTTTAAATGGTACACATTATGGTAAAAAATGTACAGAAGTGACAAAATGTTAAAAAGTGGTAGTAGGATATGGGGTCTTCAATTTCTTCTTCTTCCTCTTTTTTTTTTAGACAGAGTCTCACTCTGTTGCCCAGGCTGGAGTATATTAGTGCAACCTTGGCTCACTGCAACCTCTGCCTCTGGTGCTTAAGCCTCCAAGTAGCTGGGACCATAGGCACATGCTACCATGCCCAGCTAATTTTTTTTTTTTTTTTTTTTGGTAGAGATGAGATTTCACCATATTACCCAGGTTGGTCTCCAACTTCTGGGCTCAAGCAATCCTCCCGCCTTGGCCTCCCTAAGTACTGGGATTACAGGCATGAGCCACAGAGCCTAGCCTAAATTTTCCTGTTAATACTGCTACATATTTTCTAAATTTTCTATAATGAATGTATTCCACATACATATTCATATACATATATTCAGGAAAAATAAAAGCACTTGAAAAAGTAAGTGTGGTTAATGTTTATAAAATGCCAGCAGTGAACCAAACTCTATCCAACACTTCTTTCTACCTCGATTATAACTTTCTAGTTTTATAAACACTTTAATGCCTGGCAGGGACATACCAATACCTCAAGTGAGAAGTGGAAATCAGAAGTTACCAAGATTACCACTGGTTAGCCTTTGTTCTTAAAAGCCCGAGCTTCAAAGGATTTGAATAAATGCTTTATTAAAGAAGACATACAAATGGCAAATAAGCACATAAACAGTGCTTTACATTATTAGTTATCCAGAAAGTGCAAATGAAAACTACCAGGAGATACCACTACACACCCACTGGCATGGTTAAAATAAAAAACACCTGACAATGCCTAGTGCTAGAGATGATGTACAGAAAAGGGGACCCTCCTGCATTGCTGGTGGGAGTGTAAAATGGTGCAATGGAAAAGTTTGGCTGTTTCTCAAAAAATTAAACATACATTTAGAGTATGACCTAGCAACTCCACTCCAAACATATTTCCACATAAGTACTTGTATGCAAAAGTTCATCATGGTGTAATTAATAATAGCCCCAAACTGAAAACAAAGCAAATGTCCATTAACAAGTGAGTGGATAAACAAAAATGTGGTATATTCATACAATGGAATAACTCACCGAGGATAAAAATAAGAAGCAACAAACTACTGATACATGAAACAATGTGGATGAGCTTCAAAAATATTGTGAGAAGTGAGGGAAGCCAGGTGCGTAAGACTACATGTGATTTCATATGTATGATTCCATTGGTACGTAATTTCTAGAAAAGGTGTATCTATAAAGACAGCGGTTGGTTGCCTAGGGCTGGGGGTATGAGTGGGTGTTGGCTGTTTGAAAATTTCAGTTTTCAACTCGTCAGTCATAGCATTATAGCCTCAGAGTGAGATAGGCCTTTGGGATTATCCATCCCAGGCTCACCCATGCCCAGATAGCCCTTGATAGGAGGTCACCCAGTCTCAGTGAAACCATACACAATAGCAGAGAGCAATCCACTGTACAAAGGAACTCATTCAGTATTTGGACAGTCTGTTAGAAAGTTCTTCCCTCATTGACACCTAACAGTTGGCTCTCCTCTGCCCTGGGAAGCAGAAGACTGTGAAGTTATATGTGGGCAGTAGGGGGAGGTAACGGAAGTGGTTTAAAACTGGATTGTGTTTCTAAAACTCATTGAACATAAAAGAGGTGAATTTTATGGTATGTAAAGCATACACCTCCATAAAGCTGTAAAAAATTAAAGATTACCTAAGACCTCCTTAGAAAATAAAGGTTGGGGCATCTAAGGTTTTGTCCTGTTTAGTTATGGGAAATTTACCCTCAACACTATTTCTTGAAATAAGCCAGGCACAGAAACACAAACATTGCACGTTCTCACTTATTTGTGGGATCTAATAATCAAAACAATTGAACCCATGGAGACAGAGAGTAGAAGGATGGTTACCAGAGGCTGGGAATGGTAGTGGGGGTTGGGGGGCGAGAATGGTTAATGGGTACAAACAATCAGAATGAATAAGGCTTAGTATTTGAAAGCAAAACAGGGTGACTATAGTCGATAATAATTTAATTGTACATTTAAAAGTAACTACAAAAGTATCGTTGAATTGCTTGTAACACAAAGGATAAATGCTTGAGGGGACGGACACCCCATATTTCATGATGTGATTGTGAATAAAAAGAAAAAAGAAAAAAAACCAGATTTCTTGAGGGGTCAGGTGGGCATCATGAAGACAGTTTAGGTTTTGAGATGGGCTGTCCATGCAGCTGTCGCACAGATACAGCCGCTCTGATCTGGAAGTGAGTGCTGTTCAAAATGGACCACTTCTGTTATTGAAAAAGAAAAAATAAGCAAATATGGAGGCCTGGAATGTTCCTGGACCAGGGATTTTCCAACTGACAGTTATAAAAGAGACATGTTTAGTCTGTAATGAGTGTTATACATGGGTTATTTCCTTTAATCCCCGCAACTCTGAGATAAGTACTATCATTACTCCCATTTTACATATTGGAAAAGTGAGGCACAAAGAAGTTAAATAACTTGTCCAAGTTCGCATAATTAGTGAGAGGCAGGAGTAGGCTTGAACTCATGCAGTTGGCCTCCAGAGCCCGTCTTCTCTCCCACCATGCCCCTTCCAGCTTCTCCTGACTGCTGTTGCATGTGGATTATAAGAGGCTTGTGAAACTGATTGCTTATTCAATTTTGGTCAGACTGACTATATGCTGATGCCAATCATCAGCTGCTGCAGACAGTGAGGACTGGGACTGTGACTTGGTTAACGTCACACAAGCAAATGGTCTCCTTTGCGGACTGTTTTCCTTTTGAGTAGCACTTTCAGGAGTTCCTCCAGAGAAGTACTTTTTTTTTTTTTTGAGATGGAGTCTTGCTCTGTCACCCAGGCTGGAGTGCAGTGATGCGGTCTCAGCTCACTGCAACCTCCGCCTCTTGGGTTAGAGTGATTCTCCTGCCTCAGCTTCCCAAGTAGCTGGGACTACAGGTGTGTGCCGCCATGCCTGGCTAATTTTTGGTATTTTTAGTATATAGATGGAGTTTCGCCATGCTGGCCAGGCTGGTTTCACACTCCTAACCTCAGGTGATCTACCCGCTTCGGCTTCCC